TATTAGATGCAGAAACCTGTCAAGCCAAAGTGTGTGTGTCTGTTCAGGCTCTGTGCTGGAGGACAGCAGCTGCGCTCCGGGGCTTCAGTGTCCCACTCAGTGTACCTGTATGGACACGGTGGTCCGGTGCAGCAACAAACACCTGCAGGCTCTTCCCAGAGGACTGCCACGCAACGTGACTGAGCTGTGAGTCCAAAAATCTACCGAAGAAAACTTTTACTGTTCAAACATATAAGCTACAGGTATATGGTGATTAAAAGGTGATTGTGGTCTCATCAGTTCCAGTTGTTTGTTATAATGTGCTCGTTGCTGAATTTTAGGCAAACAACAACAACAAATACATAAACGCAAGTTTTATGAAAACAGTTTAGGAACAGTAATAAAGTTTGAAATAAGGACATGTTTTCATTCTGTGGTTGTAATCCGAAATTTGTTTCAAAGGAAGTTCTACTCTAGGCTGAGACTCTGAGGTGCAACAGTGAAAACTGTATTTGTTGTTTATCAGCAAACATGTCAGAGAAAATATTAAAATCTTTAAAAATACATTTCTGGAAAAAATAATTGAAGTATTTGCATATATATGACCTTACTGTGTGAAATATGGTCAAATTATTAAAGAAAATCAAAGCAATTTTAGAATGTAAAATGTTCCACCTGGATTTGTGGTTTCTCAGATGGTTCTGCCTCAAGGACCGTCAGTCTTCAACAGAACCACACCATCCACTTCAAGTTTTTATTTAATCTGTCTTTTTATTTATTTTTTTTGAACATACAAACAAAAAGGAGAACACAAATAACAATAAAAAAGAAAAATAAAGTTTAAATGACCATTTAAAACAAATGAAGGAACGGACTGATCAGCTAAGAGCAATAGGTGCTGTAACTGAAGGAGAACATCAGATTGTAGCACTCCTGGGCAGCTTACCACCAAGCTATGCTACGATGGTCACTGCTCTGGAAACAAAGATGGACAACTTGACATTGCAGTTTGTTCAGCTAGCATTAATAAATGAAGAGCAAAAGAGAGTCCGTGTTAATGATGACTGCAGTGCTGCTACATCAGGCGGTGCATCAGCCGGGTCAACACGAGTTCACAGAGAAATACAGGACAATTCAAAGTAGTGGGAGCCGAGAGACAGATTTCATGGAGATGTTACAAGTGTGGAAAAGAAGGACACATAAAGCGTAACTGTCCAAGCTGGAAAAAACAAGTCAAAAATCACAAAGCCAGAAATGTGATCTGTGAAAATGCAGACGACCCCTCTGAGAGGGCTTTGTTGCAAAAAATGCAAATCTTACTGAAGGACCAAGACAAATTGAGCGGAGGAAAATAAAAAAGTGGTTTGTTCCACTTTGGAGTAACCTGTTGGGGGAAGAATCAGTTTTGTTGTGTGTTTCCTTGACTGATGAAGCCTTCTGGATGGAAGGCAAAACGTTTCAGCACAAGAAAGTAAACTGTCCAGACGACCTGACTGAAAAATGTTGGATTGTATACCTGGATTATTGAGCATGGACTTTGTTGTCTTGCCTTGTAGTTTTGTTATAAAATGGGTATTTTTTTCCTGTTTAATATTCCAAGACAAGTTGAGTTAAATTAATTATTTCAGCAATGTTTTGTGTTATAATACCATTAAAAAATTAAGTGGGAGTGTTGAAATATGAAGCAGTAATTTGTTTAATGGTTATCAAGGGAAAGGCTCTTATGCTCCCATCTGCTGTGTCTTCTGAGTACTGCAGATATACTGTTAATTTCTGAGAAAAATAAAATAAAAAGAGCACATGCTGACACGTCTGTTCTCATCACAGGGTATATATAATTTTTTTCCAAATGAATATGATATATCACCTCTCTTATCCAATGTACATATGCCAGGGTGTGTGGGTCCTTCCAATTGCACAGTATTAGTCTTCTGGCTGGAAGAGAGCCAAAAGCAATCACAACCTTCTCGTACTTGCTGAAGGACATGTCCACAGGGACCCCCTCAAGCAGTGAGATGAATGGTGATGGGTGTACAGTTTTGCCACATAGACCAGATGAGGTGTCAAAAATAGATTGCTAAAAAGTCCACAAATTGGGAAAGGTCCAGAATGTGTCCAAAAGTGTAGCTGTAGTTTGTTTACAGTGATTACATGCGGGGTTCGGGTCAGCTTTGATCTTGGACAGCTTGTCTTTGGACCATTGCTGCCTGTGTATCACCTTGAATTGAATTACAACATGTCTCAGGAAGATTGATGAGTCAATGTTCTTAATTCTTTATGATCTTTCACCATATTGAGTCTGATTTGGATTCCTCCAAGTTTGTTTCCCACCTCAGTTTAAGGGAGCCAAAACTGGTCTCGGGGTTTGAACTGAGCAGTGTATAGATATTGCTGAGGGTCCCCTTGGAATCCGATCTGCATTCCAAAATATTAACCACACACTGTTGAGAGGGGTACAAAGGAAAACAAGCGTTAGACCTCACAAGATGTCTCAGCTGCAAATACCTGAAAAACTGGGGCTTGTTGACACTAAACTTCTGTACCAGTTGTTCAAAAGAGACAAATTTATCATCAGCATAGAGATCATATAGTGAATGTACTCCCCTCAAGACCCAGGTGTCAAAAGCTGCATCAGCTACTGAGGGAGTAAACATACTTTGTATGATTATTTGACACAGGTGCCAAAAACATTAACTCTGTAGAGTTAAATGTCCTCCAGAACTGATTCCAAATCTGAACCACCCAGCTCACAATTGGGTTAGAAGTGTAGGTTGATATGTACTGTTTGAAAGATGGCTAAGAGCAGAGTAATGCAGAGGGGGATCTGGATCTAAATGAGGCCCTCTCCAAAGCCACCCAACTGGTTTAGCCACCCAAATGATTTAGTAAGGAAGATTGGCAAATTCTGAAACAGATAAAGACATTTAGGTAGGATATTTTTTTTACAGTGTTTATTCTGTCCCCCAGAGTATGAGGCAGGGATTTCTATCTAGCAATAGGTATGTTTACATGGACATAAGTAACCGGATCAAATGGCCGGTCGGAATAAAAGTGTATCATGTAAACACTCCGTTCGGGTTATTTTTTGTGTATTTGGCACGATCCGATTTAATTTGTAATCAGAACAAAATGGGTGGTTTATGCCGATCCGAAACCCGATGGGTGCGCATGTAAACGCTCGATCTGTTCGTTTTTATCTGATGGTGAAAAACTGACCTGACTGCGCATGTGCAACTTTGCCATTTCCGCCTGGCTAATGCTAATAACATTAGCATGTCAGGGAAGTAAAACTGGTCGGTGAGCGACACAACATTTCTACTAGAAACTTTGAAAGAGCTCAAAATGATCTGTATCACCTGCAGCTCAGTCAGGGAGCGCAGCATCGTCTCCACCATCATTAAAACCTGTCGCGGGTCCATTTTGGTGCTCAGGTTTGTTTACGTTCACCCGGAAGTAGAACTTCTTCTTCTGTGGTTTTTTTAAGGAGAGTTTACCACTCTGCGCATGTCAGTACTGCTGTTCAGAACAAAGCCCGCTGCAGGTAAACGCTCATCATGAACAGATTGTGCCCATGTAAACAATACATTTGAATTATTCAAACAGAACACATTTCAATCCGGTCAAAGAATTCTGCACATGTAAACATAGATAATGTCCTGCTGAAGGTTCACCAGGATAGGTAGATATTCATTCAGTCAACCTTTATTTAGACAGGTAAATCCCATTGAGCCTCGAGGACTCATTTACAAGAGAGACCTGATTTCAACAAAGAATGATGACAACAATGGACAACAGCAACAACAATAAACAGTTATAAAAAGTCATACATATATTTTTATTACATCTATCTTTTCTTTTCTTATCTTATCTTAACTTAGCTTATCTTTATCTTATCTTATCACTGTAAAAAAAAATCTGTTGACCTCTAAAACCTGTTAGCTGAAAAATACTTTGTAGCATGTTTAACCCCCTAAAGAACGTCTTAAATGTATAATGGTAATACCAGAATTCATGCTCAATAATCCAGGTAGAAATCCAACAATGTTCAGTCAGGT